GCCCCCCCTCCCGCCCCCCAGCGCCGCCGCCCCGCCAGCGCCAGCTGGTCTATGTCTTCACCACCTGGCGCTCGGGCTCGTCCTTTTTCGGGGAGCTCTTTAACCAGAACCCCGAGGTCTTCTTCCTCTACGAGCCGGTCTGGCACGTGTGGCAGAAGCTGTACCCGGGGGATGCTGTCTCCCTGCAGGGGGCGGCCCGGGACATGCTGAGCTCCCTCTACCGCTGCGACCTGGCCGTCTTCCAGCTCTACAACACGGCCGGCGCCGGCAAGAACCTCACCACGCTGGGCATCTTCGGGGCGGCCACCAACAAGGTGATCTGCTCCTCGCCGCTCTGCCCAGCCTACCGCAAGGAGATGGTGGGAATGGTGGACGACAAGGTCTGCAAGAAGTGCCCCCCGCAGCAGCTCAGCCTCTTGCAGGACGAGTGCCACAAGTACCGCACCATGGTCATCAAGGGTGTGCGGGTCTTTGACCTGGCTGTGCTGGCCCCTCTCATGCAGGACCCGGTGCTGCAGCTCAAAGTCATCCACCTGGTCCGGGACCCCCGGGCAGTGGCCAGCTCCAGGATCAAATCACGACATGGCCTGATCCGCGAGAGCTTGCAGGTGGTGAGGAGCCGGGACCCCCGCATCCATCGCATGCCCCTCCTGGATGCAGGCCACAAGCTGAACAGCAAGAAGGAGGGCGCAGGTGGCTCGGATTACCATGCCCTGGGGGCTATGGAGGTGATCTGCAGTAGCATGGCCAAGACCTTGCAGACTGCCCTGCACCCACCTGACTGGCTCAAGAACAACTATCTGGTGGTCCGCTATGAGGACCTAGTGGTGGAGCCCATTAAGACTGTACGGCAGGTGTATGGCTTTGTCAACCTGGTGGTAAGCCCGGAAATGGAGAAGTTTGCCCTCAACATGACCAGTGGACCTGGCTACTCCTCCAAGCCCTTTGTGGTGTCTGCTAGAAATGCCACCCAGGCAGTGAATGCCTGGAGGACAGCATTAAGCTTCCAGCAGATCAAACAGATTGAGGAGTATTGCCACCAACCTATGGCCGTCCTGGGTTACGAGAGAGTCAACAGCCCTGAAGAGGTGAAAGACCTAAGCAAAACACTGCTCAGGAAGCCAAGGCTGTGAATGGGCCAGAAAAGATGCCAGCAGGCACCCTCTCCAAAGGGACAGCTAGCCACTGATCAGATAGCTAAATACAGCTTTGGAAACAGTCCTGTTTGCTTGACAGAGGGAATAAGAAAAAAAAAATCTAGTATTCCTTACAAAAGCATTCATCAAGGAATCCAGGAGTTCCTCCAAAGACCATTTGTGGGTAATATACATTGACATTTTTGCATTGCTGGGTTATAATTTAAAAAAATTAGGATTGATGGTATCTGTAAAGCCCCTTCCCTCTCTTATACCCAAGATGAGATTCAGTACCAAAATCTTGTTTACAGACTTCTTGTTGTGACTGTGTTAATGAAAGACTTGTGCAATTTCTGAGACATCTGTCTTAGTGGGGATGGTGTGCAGTGGAAACATCATATTGGGAACTGGGGTTTTGTATTAAAAGTAAATATTCAAATATGATCTAAATAAAAATGATATTCATTTTTATAATTACCTCAATTGTCTGGGAATCACACACATTGTTTATGTCTAGCTTGGAAAAGTACTTACTTCAGATACACATTTGATAGCAACACTTTTTTTTTTTAATTGCTTTCAGGCCTGGGGTGCAACTTTCCTCATGTTATCTCCTCCTGTTTTAGAAGCTGCTTTCTTACTAATAAGTACAAACCACATAACGGCAGTGTAGGTTTTGTGGCCATATGCACATAGTCAAAAGAGAGATTTCTTTAAATATTGGTTTTTTAAAAGGTTGTATTTAAAAATTTACATTGAAGTGCCACTATATTATATTCATGAGATTTGCCATCACAACAGTCTTGTAGCCTTGAAGGACATATCAAGGAGTTACTGTAAAGCAGAATAAATATTTCTACAATCTACGTATTGTAAAAAAGTACAGGATTTAAATGGACATTTTATAACATTGAAAAGGTTTGCATGTGTGCAAACTAAATAAACATCTATATATATTGTAGTGCAAACAACTGCAATGGATAGATAAAATACTTGAAGCATACTTCTGGCATGCTGATCAAGTGGTATAAATAAAAGCCTAGAATAAAGCTGGAGTTTCAGTGTGCACAGTATAGCACTATTCATTTTTTCCATCCCCTTAGTTTGTGTATCTGGTATGTAGGAACATACAGGTTTTGATTTGTTCCTATGTTGGGCTGATCCTGCAGTCCTTACCCAGGCAAAACTACCCTTTGACTCCCAGAGATTGTTGCCTGGATCTTCATTTGATGCTAATGCTCTCAGTTGCTGGGAGTTTTGCCTGGAATATCAGGCCATTGTTAAACGTGATGAAAGTGGGAGATGTTGTTACTCTCCCTTCTGTCATGTGATGTCAGGTGCCCACAAAGACTTTATTTAAGGCTGATGTCTTTATTCTCCAGCTCTGTTAAGATCTGTTTTGAATGCTGAGGTTTAAGAAAACAATTTCTTGATACAGTTTTCTGATTTTTTGAGACAACAGACTTTTCTGTGGGAAACACGTTTTACATTGCTTATCTAGGTATTGTGCCTTCAGAAAATACAAAGAATTGCTGGGAAGCATATAAGTAGGAAGAACTGGTTTGTGAAAATACATTTATATAAAAAGTTGATTGTGGGGAAAACTGTAGTTACATGTAATGTCTTGTATTAATATTGAATTTTTAGCAAAAATACATGAGAAGATATTTATGGATAAAGTATTGGCAATTGAATGCTAACTTAATTTGAAAAGGAAACCAGGATTTAATAAACTAGTTGAAAAGCTTATTGTGCAAGGTTGCATACACGCTAATGCTAATTATCAAATTTGACACGTGCCCATCACTGGTGGCAATAGAAATAACATAGTAACAATTTTCTCTTGAGAACATTTGCAAGTAGATAAAGTGAAATGTGCTTCAGAAGTTTCAGAGAAATGTTGAGAAATGAAAGGGATTCTAAATAAAGAAAAATACATATTAAAATTTATTGTGGTAATGAATAGAGGTCTCCTATTACCACCACAAATATTCTTTTTATGTCAGATAGGTCCCAAGCATTCAGACTTGGGCTGTTTATCAGTCCAGCTGATTCCCAGCCCAGGTATCCCCAAGATCAATGACTAAGGATTGTTTTAGAACATGCTGCATGATTTTCTTTTTACCCATCCTTTCTTCATTAAGTGCCTCTCCCCTTTACCCATACTATTCTGCTGCTTTTTAGTAGGTGCATGCTGTCTCCATAAACTCTCTCTGATTAGGAAAGAACAACCTGCATTGGGCTGCAATACCATTCTAAAATCACTTACTGGGAAAGTGATGCAGGTTATGAGAGATTGAAAACCATCTCTGATGCTTTTAGATCCTGCTGAGTATGAGAGTTCTAAAGTAATTTCTGAACTAGAATCTGTCCTGTGGTAGTATGTTATTTTACCAGCTGTTCTGATGTCAAGGACAAAATCTTGTTCACCTTACTCATTGAAAACTCTCATTTGGTTTCATTGGGAGTTTGGTGTGAGTATAATGCATTCTTGGATACAATTCCTGCTCATGTTAGTTAGCCCTTCCCAGGGTAGCAACTCTTGAGGAAATATCATTGACTTTAAATATTTTAGTACTCTCAGCAAAATGGAGAAAGATTAACTGCTTTTTTTTGACAGGATGCATAAAAGTGTTGGTCTAAGATCTGCATTATTTTACTGATATAAATCAAGAGTGAACTGAGTTGGTGTAACCTCAGACTGGAGCCTATTATCCAAGCTTTCAACTTTGCAGTGCTTTTGTCAATTATTGCTGCAGCTCGGCTGACTTTTTTTTTATGGGCATAATGAACGATGAGAGTTTATGTAGATATATTTTTGGGTCTAGTCCTCCAATCCCCCCTCTTTTTTGTGTGTGTGGGGGGGCACAACTTGCACTGAAGGTGATGGAAGTCTTGCTTGTGTAATTACTAAGGGACCAGGCCTAACATTACTTTTGCTCATTTAAAAGCATAAAATTATACCAATATTTGCCAGATAAAAATAGCATAAGATGCTGCTACTAGGTGTTTTAAGAAGGGAGGATTAAGAGAACTTCAAAATTGGAAAAATTGGAAAAGTAGTAAGTGAAAATGACTGAGAACATGAGGTTAAAAGGTATGAAAGTGAGTACAAAAGATCATAGTTTTATGCCTAAATCTGAATCCAATAACACATAGTATCATTTTTAAAAGTACAGGTAATTATATTGTATGACTTTTACCTGCGTTTATATGTGGTAGGACTATTTGATATTTTGTGAATGTATTTAGTACAGTACTCATGAAAGTGGAATCAGTGGTATTAATGTGAACCAAGAATTAGTGCACTAATCAAGTTCTCCTGGCACAGACATGCAATATCTTCAGTATTCCAATCCTCTATCTCTTTTGAGCAGAGAACAGTGCCGAATTGTGTGATAGTTGTGATGTGAACAAGTGCAGAAAATTATACAATCTTATGTATGACCATACAGAGTGTGTGTGTGTATAATACCAGGATGCTGCTAATCTTCAGAACAGTTCAGCTACAAGATTCAAAAATAAACATTAAACTCAAGCTGCTTGCACACTCCCTTATCCCACTTTAAAGGTGAAACACAAACCCTCCTTTGAATGCATTTAATATGTAAAAAGTACTGACATGATGGATACTGAGACTGACTTAGCTGTTGACAAAAACTGAAGGTCAGATGAAATGTCCTTGGGTGGCTTTTTTTTTAAATAAAGGAGGCAAATTTTTAGTTATTTGTGTTTCATTCCTTACATGGGATAAGAGGGTGCAACTGACTAAGACAACAAAACTTATTTTAAGTTGTGATTTTGATCTTTGAGGTGAAAGGCTAGTGGTTATAATCAATTTTGAAACTATTTTTCATCCTGTAGGTATTTAAAGAATGGAGGGGGATCTGCCTTTCTTACGTTGTTAAATTCTATGTTGTAGGAGGCCTTGAAAGTGATAGGCATGATCACATGCATTTCAGTTTTGATCCAGTGTATCACTTTAATTTCAAGTTTGGCTGTTTTTGCAGCTGAGACTGCCAATCACATTCAATTATACAGTGGCTTCATAATGTGACCAGACCCTATCTGCCCTATTCAAATCTCATTGATGTCAGTCTGTCACATTCTCTATCTAGCACTATTGAGCTCCATTTGAGTTACAACCAGGGTGAATTTGATCCATTGGAACTACGCACATGAATAAGGAAAGTAGGATTTAGTATGGGGCTAGTCTAAGACTGTCATACAGGTATGTATGTGTGCCATACATCCAGCCTGCATGATTAATGCCATATTTTAGTTTTGCTGGTCAAAGGCTATCTCGTGTGGCATCAGTTCTGAGAGAGTTTTTATTAAAATGGGTGTGTGGACTAAAGCTAGAACTGGATGCTATAGTCTATACAGTATACCCCATATTACAGACATTTTCTCAAGTGAGGCTGAGTTATTTTGATTAGTTGGTAGCAAATATGCTTGTTGTAAAGCATTAACATTAAACATTGTCACTTAATTTTTGTTTACCTGGGTGCAATATTACAGGTACATGAAATTTTGATGTGAAGATGTTTAAATTCTGCATATCAGTTCACAAACTAGTTCTAGAAGGTGGGATGAAATCATGACAAAGCTCTCAGTAGAGTTAGGATTTCACCCTGGGATCTGAAAATTTTCTATATTAATCATTGCAAACATTTATGATTTGAAAGGCTCTAAAGAGAGAGGAGCATTTTATAGTTGGGGGGAGGGAAACAGAGTTGGGCAGTGGGCACCTTCCTTCTCCAGTCCTGCTGCAGGAGGTGACAAATGGTTTGGCCAGCTTGTGAGCTGTTGAGTCAGTGTAGTACTATGAGGCTGTCAGAAGCTTGTGCCTAAGATTGACCCTGTCAATAATGGCATTACCTTGCTGGGAAAGGAATGAAAACAAGGCGCTTATCTCACTCCATCTTTCCCACTGCAAACTAGAACATGAACGTAAGATAAGTGGGGGACTATGCCCCGAAAAACTCAAGGAAAATCCATTTATAATCATATTCAAGAGCAGTGCGAGTCTGATCCTTAAGGTCTCCTCAGCGCCTTTGGCTCCAGAGGGAGTCTGGGTGCTCAGCACTTTACCGGAACATGCCCCAAAGGTCAGATGTTTCAAGGTAGGTGCCTAGTGGAGCATAGAAGAGCCTAGTGGGATTTTTTTAAAATGTCAAGGCACCTAGCTCCTATTTATTGAAAATTCTACTAGGCCTCTGTCTGTATTATCTCTATCTTTAAAAATCTTTCCTAAACTTTTTAATTTTGTATGGTGAACTTCTTGCCCTTTGAGATGGCTCAGTCTGACTGTCTCTGCAGGTTATAGGCATGTCCTAACGTGGCTAACTGCAGCAGTACTTTGGTACCAGATGCAATCTTGTAGAAGACCAGCAATAAAATGGTTAATGAGCAATCGTTTCCTTTTGAAAACTGGATCCGTATGGAGGATGCTGTATCTAGCATTGTTCTTTCACA